ATTCACTTTCATTCTTTTAGTTTCAAAATGGCAGGAAGTCATGACGAAAAAGTCCAGAGGAAGAAAACAAAAGAAGAAGAAGACCGTCGAGGCACTGTAATTAACTTCCAGCGTTATCTCCATGGTGGAACCTCCAGCTTGCTGTCAACCCTTCCCACACTCATTGTCTTCCCAGTCTACAAGACTATATTCCGTCAGCAAATCCACAACACAGTGATTCACCAGGCAGTGAGGCAGCTGTATAAAGAGGGCCCTTTAAAGCTCTATCGGGGTGTAGCTCCACCGTTAGTGATGCGGACCCTCAATGGTACGCTGCTCTTTGGGCTCCAGGACACAGTCCTACAACACCTGTCCCTGACATCCCAAAACATTATCCCTGCTGCTGCCTTGCCTGCTGTGGCTGGGTTCTTTACAGGAATCGTTGAAGCTGTAGTCTTTACCCCTTTTGAACGTGTTCAGAATGTGTTGCAGAACAGCCGGAATGATCAGAATGTACCTTCCTTAAAGAGTGTTCTTGTGCGCCTAAAAGGGCAAGGCATGGCTTTGGGTTTCTACAGAGCCCTCCTGCCCATCACAGCTCGCAATGCGCTGGGCAGCTCACTCTACTTTGGCCTGAAAGAGCCAATACGTGCCGTTGTGGCTGGGCAAGGGTTTTCTGCTCTGACCTCCTCCTTCATCTCGGGAACGGTGATATCAATGGCCACCAGCCTGACTCTGTTCCCTTTGTCTGTGCTGGTGGCAAACATGCAGGCACAGGTGGGAGGAGAGGGGAAAGGTGCCGTCGCGTGTTGGAAGATTCTGTTGAAGTCTCGGCAACAGAGCGTGATACATCTGTACCGAGGAGGTTCCCTGGTTGTTCTGAGGTCATGCATCACATGGGGAATCACCACTGCTATTTATGACAGGCAGGAGAAGAAACAAACATCCTGAGGAGAGACTGTTAAAAATAGTCACAATTCTGTAACTAAATTAGGATACACAGGCTGCTTGAACTTTTGTTTCTGATCAGGGCATTGGACTCCTTCAGTGCACTAACAATAGGATTCAGGATGATTCCCCCATTTATGTAGATGCCCAAGGTTCAGCCGTCATGATTCCAAGGGGTTATTCCTACTTAAGCATGACCACTGCAACACTTCCAAAGAACCCGGTTGAGACATTTTTTAAGACTAGAAGTCCCAGAGATTTTCAGTTTTCCTGCAAGCCCCCCCTCCCCTCTGCAAGTTTGTGTATTCACTCTGCCTCGCTAACTGTCCCTATTGTAATGCAAATAACCTGTGATATGACCAGCCCTTCTACATGAGACTGGATAAAGGCTGAAACAAGCTGGCAAGACCATGGTCCAAGCACTTTTCAGCACCTGGCCCTGCAACATCATACCTTTTTGAAGGAATATATTTATAAGCCATATCTAAATCTTTTATTTAGGCAAACCTATTGAACAACCAGATATCATACGGGTCCAGTTCCTGAGCTGAGAAAAGGTCATAACCATGCTTTTCCAACAGAGCCTATTTCTATTGTCCATTCACCAACAGACTCATTCATATTGCAAAGCTCACTATATGAAAGAAAGAATAATTGTATTTGGTCTTGTCTCGCCTTTTTATGTCATTCAAAATGTAATCTTAGAGAATGACAAACAGTATGCCTTCAGTATTGGAGTAACATTTATGTCACACATGGAAAAGCACTAGTCTCTTCATCTCACAATGCTGTCTCATGTGTTCTTCCTTTATTGCCTTTTCTTGCATAAAAATGTTACGAAGTTCATTTGCAAGTAGAAGAATTAACTTTGGTGGACTCTCTTTGGTCCCTGTGCACGGCTTGTACAACACATGCTCGTCTGTTTCTAGCCAAGCTTGTACGCCAAGCCAAGCCCAGCTTGAATCTGAATAACTCTGAGTCGATCTGTTGGGCCTATTTGGGCCCCGCTTTAAGGTAAAACACTCCTCAACAGAGAGGCTTGAACTAAAACCAAAACTGAAAGGGGTGGAATGGTTCTCCAACGACAGCGCCAATGGGGCATTTACATCTGAAAAGGGATTCATGAGTTGTGAAGTACTGTTGGGGGGATACTCGATGCAAACTAGGTGCAGACTAAAGTCTGCACTCTGGGACTTCTAAGAATTATGGCTGCTATTTCATCTTGTTCTAACCAGCGAAAATGCAGCCTGACAGTACCACTGCCATCGCCAGAGCCCTGGTGGAAATTTCTCAGGTATAATGACACGGTCCTGTTAAATCATTGGTGCCTTCATTCTGTTTTTGAGTTCATAGAAAGTTTCATCACCATGTTGCGTACGCTGTCTCTGGACATTTTACATTTGGAAACAGACTTGCCAAACCAGAAGTGTTTTTTGCAACAATTTTCAGAAAGGCTGGGGCGTTGTCTAAAACAGGAGAAGAAAAACAACATTTAGATATATTTCATTCATAATAGAAATAGAAAACAGAAATGTTAAAAAGGGTGCACATTACTTGTTTATGAAAGATACTGACTGGTCATGGATTTGATTAATGTTTGTTTCCAAGCTTAACAAAGACAAAGAAGTTATGTTTACTTCATAGCATCTGAGTTATATGATTATCTGTTGCTGTCAAGATTGTGTTAACCCTATAGATGTGTCAATAATATACATACTTTTGGGGGCCAGCCTGTCTCAGGTAGGCATTTTGGTGCACAGTGTTTGCAGAAAGATCCATGAGCAAGACACTGAATGCCTACCTTGCCCCCAGTATTCTATTTTTTTGTGACTGTGGACTAAAAAAACTGGATATGTTAAATTTGTAGTGCTTGATACTGGGAAAGTTTCAAAGGCAGCATTTGTGTACTGTACCTCATGTGTACATCAGTAGTCCCTGGCTTGTCATAACAGGTTGTTCCTCATTTTTGTTTAATTGTATGTGTGTAAGTCTTGTCAGCCTGTATAAGCCACAGTCCACTGACCTGTTTGTAGGCTTCAACTGTAACAGGAAAAATTCCATTTAAGGATAACCCACAATATGGCAATCAGTGAGTATAAATGTCAGGTAGACATTTTAATCGTTTTTATTATTAAGGATTGTACATTTGTGTCAGTGGTGTTATTTTATACTTACTTTCTAAAATTTCCCCGGAATCATTGTTTTTCTTTTTTTCCTTTTCGTATGCACTAAAGGGAATCCATTAACACACAAACTGCCTTTTAAACCTTTTAGCCCGGTAGGTTTCACATTATGGAAGCACATTTGATATGTATGCATTCAGTGATGTTAAGCCATCAATGGCCTGTAGCTCATATAATGTACCTACACTTTAATAAAAGGGAAGCAACTAATGGTGGAGACTCCAGTAGTTTGCCCCATGGCCTTATAACAACAAGATTCTGTTCAAAACAGTTGTGTTGGCTAACTGAGACCATCTTGTGTGTGTGTTTTATGTTTGTGCCATGTATTTGCACATATGTAAAAATCAAGCGTCAATGCAGTATGATCTTACAGTCTGCCAACCAAAGCTACATGTCCCCTGCAGATCTATTATCATACATGTGCTTTCTGTGGAATAAAAAAAATCTGTTTTGGAGTTATTCTATGCACGTGGATTTTTTTTAATCCCTCTATAGTTAACAAGTAAAACAATTATATCAAACACACGTTGCTGTTTCTGCTCTTTATGTGGAACTGTCGTAGCACAACCAGCCCACCAGGGTGTAGTGTGGTAGTGTAAACATGAGTCATCCCGATCACTCGTTTTCCATCAGCTGTGACAGGAGCAAAGTCGAAAACTGGCTCTGCATATCTTCATTTTATTATAGAGTTGGCTCGTATGATTGCAACGGTGTGTAAAGAGGATTTTGCCCCACGGGCATCTTTTAATTATGGGTCAGTGTGTCCAATTAAAATGATCCCCCTGTGCTTTGTGAGCCAATCAAACGCAGAGCAGCACTGTCTGTGTTGGTGTGCAGAAGGGCGTGTTTCCTCTATTTAAACCGTGGGTTGTGGACGGATTACACACATACGCATCTTACCTGGATAAGACTGAGTCAAAGCGCACCTCTGCACCAGGTAAACATCTGTTTGATTTCCTCTTTTTATCTACTTCAGCTCGGGAAAGTGACTCTATTTAATCTGATGTAACATGAAGGACAGTTTTTTAAAAGAGATATTCATTATATAAATCAGAGATCCGTGATATTATGCAACCTTGCAGGCCACAAAAACCTTTTTGCTGTATTTGCCGGCTCTTCACATAGTCGCTGATAACTGTGGAGATGGAGAGAAGGTGCTGCATTCCTGTGCAGTGCGCATGCAGCCACTTCATCAGTCAAACGTCACTGTCAAACTACGCGTCGTGCACAGACCTGGAACGTTTGTTACATTTTCACCGTCAATCGTTTTGAAGTGATGCTGAGCATGACAAACCCTGCACGTCCTTTGCAGCCCTTTGAAACGCAGACTCAAGACGTGGACCAAGCGCAAAGCTGGCCCTGCGTGATATGAAGCAGGTCCAGCTGAACATGGCAGAGAACACGGTCGTCCTGCCTTCCTGAAAATGTCAAACTTTTCCCTCTGCGGACGTCAGCACACTCACTATTATCCTAAACCCCGCACAGGGAATGCCAATCAGTGAACAAATTTAAGCCAATATTTTAGTGTCATGTTAAACGGTGCAGTCCACAGCAACCACACCACATGAGAGTTCATTATAATAGGTAAGTGCATGTTAATGCTATCTTTTTTTCTTTTGGCATAGCTCAGACCACTATTGTGTGTGTTGAAACAGAGGTGTGGCTCACTTAGGATGGACCTGTATGGACATGCTTCCCTATCGGCATCATATGTCATCAGCCTCTCATGCATTCTTTTGTCATTCGAAGATTTATATCTTAATCATACTCCCGATATTCATATTCTCTTTTTTCATCTGTTAGAACATTTCCAAAATGAGTGACAACAACCCAGTCAGTCAGGAGGTGGAGCAGTTTAACAAGCAAAAGCTGAGGAAGACCAGCACACAAGAAAAAAACCACCTTCCCACCAAGGAGGGTAGGTGTTTAAGGGAAAAGATGTTTGCTCTTTGCAGGATTTTGTCTCTTTCCCATTTCACATTTTTCATTTACACTTTTATGCTTCACCTCTTTGCTATCTATTTTGAAGCGGCAGCTGCAAACAGAACGCACACGCCCAAGGGCTGAAGAGTTCCCTTGTTCTATTAAGTCAACTGGTAACGCCACCTGAAGGGATTTATTTTAAGGTGTGCTCCTCTTTCCAAACATGATGCAAGCCAGCCCATTTTGAAAGAAACTCCTTCTGGTACTTTGGAGGGGAACTTTGAATTACCATGAACAATTTAGCCATTGCAGAACTGGTAAAAGCCCAAATGATGAAAAAAGACTATAGAAAAGCTGAACATTTTGGAGGAAAATGTGTCAAAAGACTATTGCAAAGTGCTGAAATGTTCTGTTTTATTTAATTTAATTTAATTTTTTTGTGGCTGGTTTTCTTCTAAAATCTGAACCCAGCCCTGATCCTAGGAAGTGTGTTGTGAAAGATGAGCTGAAGCAAGAGGTCCTGCTGGTGCATGTTGGCTTTTTGAGTCTTCCAACACACTTTTTCCTGGGATAGATCTGCCTCTTTGCAGTGAGAGGAGGAGCGTATGTCACTGAGGAACCATTAGGCCTTTAACCCAATAAACACAAGCATAAAACTGTTTTTGTCTAAATTCTGTATCATTTAATCTCATCATGTCATCTTGCATATTGTTGCTGAGAGCATCGTCTGATGGAATGAAGTGTCATTTTGAAAGATTTCACACGTTTTTTTCATTAAGGCTGTCAAAGGGAGCAGTGCAGTCTGTGCGTTTCTTATGATTCCAAAGGGAACACCCTGTTTGTGTGTGTGTGTGTGATGTAGCATCATGAAGATAACGTGGTGTTATCAGAATTATGGTTTGTCCACGAACACCATCTTTAAAACAGAGAGCCTGTGTTGCGTAAACCGAAAACCCTGGAATTTAGCCTAGAGGCACTTACCAGGTAATCCGGTTACACTGTGGGTAAAGTTGGCATTCATTCTTTTTTTCTCTCTCTTTTTTAAATGTATTTATTTTCATTGACACACCTGTTTTATTAGGCAATATTTCAGGTTTCAGTGTCACTGCAGCTGAGGTTTTCAAAAGGGAAAACTAGCTAATTTGCAGACTTTGTTGGTGTAACAAATAATTTGTGCTCTGCGCACAACTAATGATGGAGGAAACAGAGACGGAGACATCCTGACTATTAAGGAGGACTTCCACCAGTTTATTAGAGGCCGAGCTAACCTAAGGAACAAAAACATCTGTCATAGAAACCAGTTTATATTTAAATGTTAGCTGCTGTTTTTCAGGGTAACTTTAGAGTGTTAAAACTCTTGCACAGGATGGATTAGATTTGGTTACTTGCAGATGCCAGTTATGTACCTATGATGCAGCAGCATTGGTTTGAAATGCAAAGGTTTTATTTTTATTTTTAAATATCTAATCCTTACAACTTTTTACCTCAAACCTATTCCTTCATCAACACCACATAGGAGGTTTGACACTGTTTATACTCTCATGGTGATCTGTGTTGGACAGTATATTCTCATTCTCATCTGTGTTTTTTGTAAACCCACAGAAATTGAAGAGGAGAAGAAAGCTATGAAGGGTGGGAATAATTGAAACACACTCTCCATGATTCCTTTTCTTCAGTCCTGTTTGGTAACGTCTTCATCTTCCACCTTGGAGTCCTATCATCAAATCCACCTCTGCCACTAGTTTCTTTTGCCACCATGTTCTAATGAAATAGTTTTCCGGCTGATCCTATATGGAAGGATCTCTTTAATCAGAAATCTTATCAAAGCAATAGGTGAACTTTATTGTGTTCTTTTAAAGCCGTGTACAATGTGTTGAATAGATCTTAATAAAGACTTGGTGTTGGTTTTATTAAAAATGGAAAAAAAACTAATACAGTATGATAGAAATGGAATATACTGCACACCATTCAGTTGATTTTATATGGTGCCATTAAGGAAATGTGAGAAATGACAAGATATTTTTGTTTTAATAAAAAAAAAATCTGTATCTGATTCTTGTGCTACAATTGAATTTGCTCAAGTCAATTAAACAAAACATGTAGTCCAGTCACATTCTGAATAAAAGTACCTTCAAATGTATTAATTTACTGATCAATGTGCTTTTACTGAAACACAACAGTTACAGAACTACATATTTATTAAATAACCAGATAGCCCACTGGGGGTGTATTTGTTAATCAAGGGGGACAAAAACCAAAAGGGGATCTGAGATTGCTGTTTGCATTGCACATCTGTCACAGAGTGTGATCATCATCACATTCATTGACAGGAATAACAAATGCTTGTCCATAAATGCTGCAGAAATTAGTACATTTCTTTCTTTGTTTTTGATTAAACTTTCACTCTTGCTGTAGAACCGTCTTAGAATTTGCAAACATGAACAAAAGAAGAGCTTCAAAAAGCTAAGAATAGTACAGATGAGGATTTACAAGTTGACATATTTTTCCTGAATTTTGCCATCACATCCAGGGATGTAATAGCTACCATTTTAAATACGGATATCAGTAACAGTCACTTAGGATAAAAGCGTCTGCTTAATGCATAAACACCAATACCCTGCTGTTTCTTCACGCTCAGTTAAGGCATGCCCGCACTGATGGAAAAGTGCATTACACGGATCAATGAATGACCACTGTTCTTTTTCCCAGACTCTGTGTGTGTGGATTGCTCAAGAGAAAGCAGCCTGTGTTTTTCCACATCAAGCCTGTTGAAACATGCTCCCCGTACAACATGCAAATACTTGACAGCAAAAAGCATGCCAAGACTATCTTTGGATATAGCCACAATCATCCCTCTGCTATGTACACTAACCTTTCCGTGACAAAGAACAAGTTTAGGAAGAATAATCTACGGTTCAATTAATCTAAAAGTTCTGATAGTATACATAACATCTGTTACAGTCATATTACAGGGTTGGACTTTTCTAGTCACTCTGGCATGAAGATAATAAACATCAGAGCAATAATAGCAGCAGAAAGAGGCAACCAGTTTAGTTGACAGTTCTGTAGACCTGTGAGTTTTCTGAATCTATCTCTTGAGAAAGTGAAATAATATCCCAGGAGATCAGTATCAGTCGCAAAACAAGTTATACATGTACGTATGTCAACACCAATACTTTCTGAAGTCTTTATTTAACTTTTACTTTGTCTATTTTCCACAATTGAAACAGTATACAAAGAGAGCAAAAATATAACTCTATTAGTCACCGAATTATTTATTTTTTATTTCTCTTTAACAACGATAAAGTAATGACAGGCTCATCTGTATCCCTACACAGATTAAATAGGATTTATGGGCCTCCGGAAGCAGCTATCTCTTGTAAAGCGGACCATTGATGATCTTGGACGATATGGACGACCAACTTTCAAATACAGAATATGGTGTATTTATCTGTTTTCAAATGAATCTATTTCTGTTCATTTCTTATTACAGGACTCAAAACATTTAATGTCAGGAAAGTAAAGCAGTGTAATAAGATGAACAGAAAGCCTTTAAACACAACGCTTGTTTTTGTTTATTTCTTTATCTATTTAAGGATAGCGTCCTTTTTCACTGTCATGCCATGATAGATAACGAAGATAATTCTGTCAAAGGAGCCATGGAAGGCGCAAACGCCAACAGCGACACCCTGTGGCCACTACACGACAGTGCAGCCCGGTGTTGTTGCAGTACGCCTTCCTCACACAGGGGGCGCTAAAGAGAGGGAGGACATGACGGGGGAGGGTGAGTGAGGCTCCGCTGCAGGTCTGTTCACTGGGCTAACTAAACTCCATCATCAAGCTAGTTAGCACCGCGACGCGGTGATCGCTGCCCGGAGGTGCGCCGGATGGCAACAGGAGAAGATGGACCAGAGAGGTCTCGGTGCCTGGACAATCACCGTCGAGCCGTGAGCCACTTCCGTTAAGGGCAATTAAGCCTCTCCATTCATGCTGTCGCTGGTCGACAGCGGAGTTTGAGCTCTGAGTGGCGGGGAAGCCCAGTCGCCACCTCGCTGGGACATCACGGCTCGATCACCGGTACGTTTGTTTTGTTGGCAGCATGCTAACCAGCTAACATTAACCGGAGAGCTTAGATATACGCGCATCGCCGGGAAAGAATCGACTGCCGCGGTCGCGAGTCCACGAGCACCAACGCGTTAACTAATTAGTCAACTGTGTCGGCAGAGTAGCGACACACGGCGTGTAATAAAAAAGCTAAAAGGGTTAATTCCGCTTGCCAGTTGCGTGTTAATACTCTGGCTTTTTCTCACGTATGAGGTTTATATCTAAAGCAGCATGTTAGCGAAGTGACCAGAGAGGTTTAACGTGAATGTTTTGGACGTCATAGATAGCGGTGCTGGTAAGCGCGCGCTCGTTTTTTTTTTATTTTATCCGTGAAACACTTCATTCGCCCAGCCTGAATTTACAAGATGTTGCTTAACTATTCTTTCTAGTCATTAGCTTTGTCGTGCGCTTTCTTCCAGCCGAGTGGCAGCATGGTGGTCCCGGACAGCGCCAGCATGGTCCCGAACGGGGAGTTGAGTCCCACCGGCCACACGGAGAGCTCCGGGGCGGGCTGCGAGGAGGAGGCCGGGGACCCGGACCTGACTGTGGGGGAGCTGGAGGAGGTCCGAAAGCTGCAGGAGCTGGTTCGGAGGCTGGAAATCCAGAACGAGACGCTGCGCAGCAGGGGTGGCAAGACTATCATCCCCAGAGGAGCCAACAGCAACCTCACTGCTGCCGTCAACATCAACGAGAGGATGACCCACTCCCACCTCAGGCTGGAGGACAGCGGCGAGCTGGACACCGACTGCAAGCTGTCCCCCGCACAGGACAGCTGCAGCAGCAGCGGCGAGGAGATGTCCCCTCTACCCCCGGCCAGCACACTGGAGGAAGGGGACGAAGAGGAGGGAGCGGGAGAAGATGAGCGGGGTCCGTGCGGGGGCTTCCTGACTCTGACCTGCAACAACGGAGCGGGACAGGGTCAGGAGCACAGCCGGACGCCAGAGAGCCCCTCTCAGGAGAGCTACGAGTCCGAGACACTCGCAGAGAGCGACTCGGGCGTGGACAAATCTGCACTGGACGAAGTGGACGTCCTGGATCTGGAGGATGAGAGTGCAGAAGTGGAGGATGAAGACAGTTGGTAGGTCTTATTTTTCTCTCTGTTTGGTTTGTCTGTCATCTGAACAGTGTACAACGGCCAAGTAATACTGACGCAAAGCAGGAGTGGACAGAGGTAACTCTGGGCCCTGGAAGAGGGGCTCTGGAACACCAGTTACAGGGAGCTCACATTTAGAGGTCACGTTTCCTCTTCAGTGTGTACAAATAAAGGAGGCCCTTCATCCGGATGAACCACTTATGCCTTTTTATTAGAACCCTTTTATTTAGAAGTGCTACTCCCCCACAGGGCAGTGACTATGGGCCATTTGGGTTAGAATAATATTCTACTCTAAGCTTTTTCTTGCAGCCCAAAGCTGTTTTTTTTTCTTTTCTTGAACCTTTAGAGTAAAACTTGATAGATAGACACACACCAAAACGAAAATAATTGAATTTGCAATATATTGAGTTGCAAAGGAAGCATTAGAAAAATATTCAAATCCTCTAAGCAAATGATGTGAAAACAGTGAGAGGCTGTTTCTTCTGTTTTGAACACGATCTTGAGCGCTCAGGCGGGGGTAAACAACCCCAGCACAAAATGCTTGCTACCTGTTTGACGGGTTAAGATGAGCCAGAACCACAGCAGGAGCACCAAAGTAAAAAAAAATGTTCTCACCACCTGCAGATGTGTTCTTTCATACCAAAGTGAGTTAGCTCAGGAAAGCCCAGTTTATTATTCCTGACTTCATCACAGACCTGCTCTGGCTGAGCCTCATTCCAGCAGCCAGCATTAATCACGCCATGAATGCAGGTAAGATTGAAGCATGTGTGAAGCACTTGTGTCTTATTTTGAGGCAAGATTAACCTCGTTTGTTTGCCCTGATTTGATTTTCTGAAAGCGTTGCCCAAAATGAACAGTCACAGGAGCCTAATTCCGAATAATCCACATTAAAATGACGGCGGGGATCAGTGTGGGGACATGACTGCGTGTGACGTACGTGTTGCTTGGAGCTGAACAACCAGAGCGCTGGTAGCTTATTTGCAGTTTAACATTATTAGCCATACCATATGTGCTTTGTGGGGTTATCATAGCCAAAACACTGTGTAATCCCTCCCATCAGCATAATCTGATCTGCTCTGGGCTGGAGGCTGGCACATGGCTAAACAGCTTTGACTGGAATTGCACAGCATGTGATCTTGACCCCCCCCCCTCCTTCCCATGTGTAATCAAACAGCTAGAGATACAAAATCAGCTGGTAAGCTAGTGTGCTGTTTTTTTCTTTCTTTCTTCTTTTTACCTGGTGCGGTCCATAGTTCGTGAGAGCCTCCGCCGTCCTCTACAGCAGTGGCCATTTTTCACATAGTAGAACAGTTTGACACATAAGGAAGCACCCGTTTCTAAAGATGAAAGCGTCCTGTTTGTATCATTGTCCGAGCCTTTGGGTGGGATCACTGGGAACGCTGCAGCATCAGCTGTGTTTACCTACGGCGTTGACATTGGACACACCACTGATGGAAAACAAAAACTCAGAAAAACCCTCTCACCAGAGGTGGAGTGTGTGTGTGTGCTCTGGGTGTGTGTTCTGGTTTGCCATTAATGTTAGTGGAACTCTGGTTACAGGCCCACAAATAACAAGGGACAGTGGCTAACAGCTCCCAGCGTGAAAGAATCAAACGCCTGCATTTGTGCGCTGGTATGAACGAGCTGATTGGATTGCTCCCCCAGCTCTTTGGCAGGATATGTGACCTGAATATTGCTCTTCGGTATTGTTGCTCATTCCACTGGGAAATGGGACCTTTTGTGTTTGCCCAGCTGGGGAAAATGATTTGTGGCAGAACAACTCGGCTGTGTAAGCAGCTCAAACGACCATCAGTTCAAAGCTTGCGATGACATCATGGGCGTTGCTGTCACCAGGGCAACGTCAGGCCCAGTTTTTTATTTTTATTTCATACCATTGAATTCCCTCCAAGACAACAAATATAAGGTCTTCTATCCTTTTAAAAGAATTGCATCCCTTTCCTTTTTTTCTTGGCCCTTCTGTGGATGTGCCCTACCTAACCCAAACCAGGATGAGCAAACTTTGTTCAGAGGGAGTGGGTCAGTCAGATGTCAGCTCCAGACATCATACCAAATTTGAGTTGAGATAAAGGCGTTCCAAGACAAACGACATGCTAGGGGAGTCTGATTACTGGTTGATTGGTCTGATTAGATCACTCCCTTCATTCATGGGGAGACTGAAGGGGGAGCTTGGCCGTGGCATATATCTTGAGTTCAGGCTGTGCTTAACGTTTTGTAAATCCTCCATAACTCAGTGCTGTTAACCTCATACTTTGCGCACGAGCTCCACACTGAGAGCATGCATTCATTTTCGCTGCACACTCACTGACAAACACTTCCTAGTGGAATGTTTAATAAGCAGCAGATTAGGCTTAATTCCCTTTTCTGGCCACAGTTTTCCAATCTTTGCACTGTGCTGATGTATACATCTGTTTTTTGTTTTTTGCCTTTTCCCTGCAGGTTGTATGTGTCGCCTAAAAAGCAAGTCGCAGATCAGGGGCCAGACTCGCCGTTGAAGTGGTGCCGGCAGGCTCTTGACCATCGCAGCCCAGAAACAGAAATGGCGTGTCGGACACTGATCAACCGTCTGGACCAGAGTATGCATCACTGACATGAATGCCTTTTGTACTCAGCTCTTCAAAGCAGTCAGACCACAACATACGTAAGATGCTGCACATGAGGAAGCCTTTTTGAGATTTAAGCTCCTCTTTAAGCCTCTTACTATCTGAGGGTCTATGATTCATGTCAGGGAGCCTAATTCAGCACATTTACAGCTCTGCTGCAGTCGACCCCTTTGTACTCTTATTTACAGCTCACCTCTGCAGTGTGTTTGAGTTGCATGACAAAGCCTACGTGCTGGCATACACCATATGTGTAGACAGAAGTTTGCATTGGATCCAGAAGACCTCATTCACTATTTATCACGCTTGCAGGTTCAACTTCCTGCTCAGAGCAGAACCTGAACAACAAACCTATTCACACCACAGCTGAATGAGTACATGAAGTCATGGGTTGGATTGGATTACCTTCCCCCTGACACATTCTCCTTTCTAAACGGCAGCACAAGGCCGTGAAACAGTTCAGTGGCAATGAAAAGGTCTCAGTAACACAGCAGAAATGTGGGGAAAGTAAAAGGAAAAAAATCACTTTTGTTTAGCTGAGAATGTTTTTTTAAATCTACCTACGTTGGCAGATAGGCAAATACTTTGAAAACTTGCTGACATGACCCTGGGTAGCTGTGAAGGATTTACAGCTAGCTCTCAACAGACTTTAACGGCTCGCTGTCTTGCCGTTGAATATATGGTCTCCCTGCTCTGTGCCCTGCAGCTTCTCGATGGAGGAACATGTATAGCAGCCCATCAGAGGCAGCCTCAGCAGGCCCGATATCTCCTGGGTACCACAAATCAACTAACAAATCCCTACTAACCTGTGGCAGCTCAGGTATGGCATGACATTAACACACTGCTCCCCAATGGGAAAAACCTCAGTCGGTCAGTTTATCTGTGTGTCTATCTTTGTAAAAGGGCCGGCGTTGTATGTTTTCTGCATGCTGACAAACTCAGCTGACCACGTCCGTCACTGCAAACTCTTTCCAAAGCCGTCTGTTAGTATGGCTTCCTGTTTCTACCAGATAACAGTCCGTTTTGTTATCTGACACCACAGACATCCAAATATGGCATTCCTAAAAGGTGAATGTATGATTAGCAACTTATTGCATGGTGAATACTGCTCTCAGTTGACCATTCCGTGTCCACAACAGACACAATCTTACTACTCTCCTCTTGAATTACTTAGGTATTTTAAAAGGCAAACCTTCATAAATAGTCATGGTTTGTTGGAATTCACTGGTATGCTTTGGCCGGTGGTCAGCAGCATGTCATTTGGATGTAAGCGTACAGAAAAATGGATGTTGGCTCTGTGGTGGCAGTGGTTAAGGGCACTTTGAGGTTTTCTTTTCTCAAAATGTCTGACGGCATCGTGGACTGGGCAGTCTCCAACAGGGCTGATGTTGTTGTTAGAACTCAGTAAATAACAAATCTTGGCAGAATATTTTGCATGACCTTGAAAACGCTTGGCTTGTGAGATGTGAACCTGTCTAATCCTGCATCCGGTGTGTGTGGGACAAGGAGGTTAATCGGCAGATAGACTTATGCTTCTGAGCTTAACAGTGAAGTGAAGAACAATCATTTTCTCTGTTTGTTTTTTTTTGTTTGTCTTTCATTTTGATCAGGTCACTGTTGATTAATTCTTACTTAATCAGCATTGTTACTGATTAGTCCATTAAAATAGCTCTAAGTGATCATCAACATTTTGAGATCACACATTATTTATTAGAATTAGTTTGTTTGTTTTGGGATAATCCCTGCCACCGTAAAACAGTGACAGCAAGTGTGTCTGATGTTCTCACTGTTGTCTTGTTGGAACCGTTAAAGCGGGTAATCCTTCCTGTGTGTTCAGGTGTCACGAGCATGCAGTCAGCCCTGAGCTCGCAGTCCTCCATAGACAGCGAGCTCAGCACATCGGATGACTCCATCTCCATGGGATACAAGCTCCAGGATCTGACCGATGTCCAGATCATGGCCCGCCTACAGGAGGAAAGTGAGTGCAGGGCTTTGGGGGTGTAGCCGGCGTCAGCTTTAAGTGCGTTTGCTGGAATTCGATGAAGGAATCAAACATGCTTGCATTGTTTGTCTCTATCTGCCCAGTGGTCGTAACGTAAGCATGCGTGAGTGTGAATGGCTCTTTGAGGAGTCCCTTTCGTGCGTTTGAACCTGATGTCTGTGGTGGCAGGTCTAAGGCAGGATTATGCCTCCAGCTCGGCGTCCGCATCCCGCCGCAGCTCCTCCACGTCTCTGCAGTCCCTGCGTCGGGCGGGGGCCTACAGCGACCAGGAGTTTGACACGTACAGCCTGGAGGATGAAGAGGATGACTTCTGCTCCGCCCCACAGCGCCCACACCGCTTCACCCCCTCGCCGTTAGGCTCACCACGTTGCCTCTCTCCCTCCACCTCCAACCACAGTCAGGAATACTGCGGCCGACTCGGGGCGCCACGCACAAGAACCCCCCGGCGGTCCCTCCAGGGCCCCAGTGCAGAGCTGCTCAAATTTGCCAAGAGTGAAGGTAGGCCATGACCAGTAATGAAGCAGAACTGCACCTAGGTCGAAGAAGATCGGCGAGGGCTCTTCTGTTCAAAAGGTGTTACGTCTCTTATTAAATGCCTACGTGTGTGTGGTTCCAGAGGAGTTGAGGCACAGCATGCCTAACCTGGCCCCCCGCACCAGCCTGCGTTCCCTGGAAGCAGTCAGAAACAGCCGCAGCATGGAGGCTAACCTCCAGAGCTCTGGCAGCCGCATGTCTCACCTGAGTCACTCCCCCTCCACAGGTAACCCCACCCTCTTCACCTCCTCCCCAACACTGCTTTCCCTTGAAGTTTGCTCCCTCCACTGTCATCCCACCTCTCATCGTCCTCACCTCTGCATGATCCCAGGAAGTCGGCAGTCTTCTCTTGAAAATTTATGTTGGCAAACTAGATTCTTTAAATGTTCGTGCAGCGGCAAAAGAAGTATTGTGAAAGGGTTATGTAAGCTTCCTTATTTCATCACACATCCTGCGATTTGACCGCTGGGTGTGCTCGGGCTGCAGTTTCAGTGCTGCTGTAGCGAGACGTGCTGAGCCGAACATGTGCATGCCCACTGGTCACCACCACTGTACAGTTACAAGCCTACAACAGTGTTTGGACAGAATCATAGAAAAAACTGCTTTGGATGTTTCTTCATTATCCTACAAATAGATAATGCCACAATATTCATTAAAATGTGTGATCCACAGCTAATAACAGTTTTTCACAGTATTTTATGGCAAGCCTCCTCGAAACAATGTCATTCACCTTATATGGCTATGCCTTCATGTTTTTCCAAAACTTGTCTGAAACCTATGTGTACGACAAATTCATCATAGTTTGTGGATTTTGTTTTTAATCTTTACTCAAGGTATGTCTTGTGGCCGTCTGCGTGGCACTGGTCAGTCTCCTCTTTCTGTGAGGACTCCAGTTAAGGCTGTCACACCTGTGGGCACTATCGCAACTGGTCGTCAGCATTCCAGAGGCCTGCCTGTTGTCCAGGCACCACCTGCAGGATGTGGCCGCAGGATCCAATCGCCAGGATCTGGAAATGGTGGAGCGTACATACCAGGGAGGGCTGCGGCTGGGGCTGGAAGGGCTGCAGTGGGAAGGGGGGGTCAGGGTTTGGCACCGGCCTCCACAAGAAGTAAACTTTCACAACCTCCCAGAAGGTGAGAGCCTAAAAGAAAGTCCACAAAAAGGTGAAACCCTGATTCAAATAATCATTGCATCTCATTTCTGGTTCTGTTCACAGGTCTTTGGGTATGGCTAAAATCTCAGATGAATCCTGGAAAGATGGCTGTTACTGAAGTTAAAACGGGTGATGAAGGATGTTCACTGCTGCAACTTCTCGACAAAAAGGAGACAGCCACTGTTTCCACAAACGTGTCACAGCACCTCTCAGTCCCACATTTCAAACTGGAACAATGGATTGCACTGGATTTGTAGTCTTTTTCCTTCGCATGAAACAATGTCAACCCACTCATAGATTGGATGTGTAGGAAGATGATGAGCTATACAGGCACGCTCTGTTCACACTATGGACCCACTCCTGAGCTTCCAGAAGATTTGTTGGTGTCAATTTTATGTACTTATTTTTCTATGGTAATAGTGTGAAACCGCTGGAATATTAAGGGTTGTATTAAAGTACTGTCGATGTTATTGATATGAAGACTGTTTTTAAATGAAGATATTGCTGGTTTGTTCATTTTCTGTGTGAATTACTACTAGATGAAGGTGCTGAGTGTTGCATGCTGGGTGGTTTTGTTGTTTTCGGTTTACCCCACAGTCTTTTTTTTTAATCATCCTCCACCTGTATGACAAATCTGCCATCAATGATCTGTGATGATCTGTGCAAATTTCTTAATGTTTGAGTGGTTCATAGTAATATCTCTAGATTTGTGTTATGTTTTGCTCTTTGCTTACACAGCAGTGCAACCCTTTTAAACCACACTGCCCTTATGGATAATATTTGAGAAAAAAAGGTTTGTGCCAAGGTGCGCTGAAGCTGCAACTCTTAATTCCATAAATAATCTTGAGTAATTAAAGGTACTGTTGCAGTACCACTGGGTTTTCCATGCATTTTTATTGCATATCTAAAGGTGGTCCTGAGAGTTTGCCTTTGGAAACCACTGTAATGAAAACAATCTTTATGCACAAAGGCCTTGTGCCTTAGTCAGCTATGCACCCTGATGGAGAGTGCCTCTGAAAATCAGCTGTAATGAAAACAATAAAGTCTACCCTGAAGCTGTCATTATGTTTCTGATTTCTAATTCATTGTATTTATGCATCCACAGTCGACATATGTATGTATCATAACCCACTTAGACGATTCGGGCTCTCTGCAGCGCAAGCAAGTGCATATCCAGGCTATATAATATTTTCCAGGGAGCGTTACCACCCCTCGACAGAGCTGAACGCAGCTCACCTCCGGTGACAAAATGGCCTACAGGCCTCATCTGCGCATACTAAGTCTGAGCGCAGAGTACACGCGCGTACTTAAAAAAATAGTTTGCGCACTGAAGTTTGAATTCTGTCCAAATACCTGGCATAAGTGAATATCCATTAAGTTAAATGTTGTGTTAAATCAACTCTGCTCTTTTATGCATGACGCAAATAGTAAGGGATCAGCGGTAAACGAGGCCACGCATTGTCTGCCCCCCGCCCTCCCTCTGCTTGTCAGGAAGCAAGCTGATTGGCCGAGGCCTAGCAAAGAGTGCCCGGGGATCCAAAACTGCAGGCCGCACTTAGCTTACCGTCAAAAATATACCAAAACAATAACAGACAAATTCGAGAGGGGGGAGAAACACCGATAGAGTCAGAAGACGACGTTATCAGGTAAAATTATTTTAAGTTGCTCACAAAGGCACGTAGAATGAAACGTAAGGGCCCAGTCAAACGTAGCGGGCCTCTTTCAGCCTTTTCGAAAACAACATGGAAGATAATGCGGCACGAGCTGCTCCACCTAGCATAGCAAGGTAGCTAGGCTTATGAACGACAATCGTCGAGCAAATTAGTGAAACGTAAACAAAAACAACCACACGAAATATGAATTTGGCACACGTGCACATTACTCGAATGCTCTTGTGTTTGTCTGGTAGAACGTTGCGTGGGATGCTTTATTTGACTGATTATCGCATCCGTTAAATTAGCTTATGTGCTAAACCAAAATGGCGCTTGGAAAATCAGCCCCCTAGCTTGCTTGCTAGTTAGCTCCAGTGGGTGGAGGGCGGTTGCCCCCTTATTATGCATTGCATAACTGCGGTGTTTTCATTGGTGGCCATAAACTCTGAGCATGTGAAATTTAATTGTACAGTTAAGACTATTGAAAGTAGTAAACGATTATTAAAAGAGTACGTTTTTTTTGTCGTAGACTGATGCACATCCGCGTAAACCAAGCACGCACAACGCTACCAGACAGCCCTACCCCGTTTTATTTGCCTTACTAAAAAATCGTTGTTGTACGACACTGCATTGACCCTGCAAAACAAGCGAGTCCGAACCGTACAAGGACTACCAGTGCCGCTAACTGCCAGCTTGTCCTCGCCAAACTGAGCGGGGCTGCACTATGTCTCAGTTCGGCTATTAATCAGGCTCAACCAGCTCCAGGTGTATAGCTTTAAACCCACAGGTTGATGCAGCATGTAGTTCTCCTGATAGGCAGTGGATGGAGCTAGGGACCAGCTAACAGCCTTTCCCTCTATTTATAAGGAATTTGAAGGAAGCCTCTTTCGCATGCAAATTTTTTCTAAGTGACACCCCTGATCCTGACATAAATGTCACAACCATAAAACTGACTGTTTAATTGTTATTTAAACAGTGTTGATAATCAGTATAAGTTGCTTTTCTCTGTGTCTGTCTTTAACAGTAGTTGATTACATTGATGGAAGGAGGAACATTGTCCTGTTGACTTTATTCTAAAGTCTTGTCACTAAATGTGAAGGTATGTTTTTCATATTGGCCTTAGGGTCTTGGTTTAACTTTCACTTTTCATTTCACTCACAACAACAAAGCAAGTGACATGTCTGCATTGTGTGTACTTTACTTTTCAGTCTTTTTAACGTAGGACAGTCATGGATCAAGGAGGAGGGGTGTTGGAGTTACACACTCAGGAGCTGAAAATGCCCCATGCTATGATCATGCAAGACTTTGGTAGGTGGCTACATAAGACAATATTAAAACCATAAATGGTATTGGTGGCATGTATTTTGTGGTCCTGGAGAGACCATCACAATGATGTAAATAAAACAAAGGTGTAAAGCCAATGTAACATTATCTTTGTTCTTCAGGTGCTTTTTAACTACAAGACTAGGAAACCTCATCATTTGCACACAAGAAGCATGGGGATAAATCATTTAATCTTAAGATTGTACTATAACATCCCCTTTGTTTTAGACAAGTCTTCTTTAAACCCTAAAGTAATTTAAACTGTCATTGTTTGCAAAAACGTTTATTCCTCAAAAGTGATATGAGTTCAGATCTTTGTCTTTATGTTTCTCAATAAAAAACAAACATAATTTCATTGTCATGTAATCACCTGTTTGTATACTGTATGTTTTAAACACACTAATACATCTAGCCTTTTTCATCCTTTTGTCCGGGCATTTGTAAAGACACAATGTATCTATGCACACGTGACCTGGGTTCTTGTCTGTTTTTTCTTTTTGAATTCTCACAGCATTTTCATCTTGTAAACATGTTTGTGTATCTTTCTTACAGTGGCAGGCATGGGAGGTTTGGCCCACATTGACGGGGAGCACATTGTGGTGTCTGTGCCCGAGGGAATGCTTCTTTCAGATGTGATGACAGATGAGGGTATCCTCCTGGAACATGGACTTGAGGTGGAAGGTCTAGAAACTCAAGTGGTTCAAAGCCTGGAGACAGAGGTGGTTGAAGGACTGGAGACTGAAGTGGTGGAAGGCTTGCATGCAGACGTAGAAGGCTTGGAGGCAGAAGTAGTCGATGAGCTCCAGACACAGGTGGTGGAGTTGGAAGCTCATGTTGTTGAGGGCCTGCATGGTGAGGTTGAAGTGGAGGGCCTTGAAGCACAAGTGGTTGAAGGCCTAGAAACCGAAGTAGATGTGGAGGGCCTGGAAGCTCATGTTGTTGAAGGCCTCGAGGAAGAAGTAGAAGTGGAAGGTCTGGAAGCTGAGGTTGTTGAAGGTCTGGAGGTAGATGTGGAAAGTCTCCAATCTCAAGGAGTAGAAGCCCATGAAATGACCAGTGAAGACATGGTCCCCTCAGGACACAGCGTTATCATGCCTGAGAATATTCTGGGGACAGAGGTTGCAATAGAAGAAGCTTTGGATACCCATCATCACCATGTCTTAACATCAGACCTAATCCAGGACTCAAACCATCACCATGACGACATGCCAGACCAAGTGTTTGTGGCAGAGCTGCTGTCTGAACACCAGGATAACACACTGGACCACCAGCTTGTGTCTCAAGGTTTGATGGTGACTGAGGCCAACTCTGAGACCATAATCCATCAGCAGCTGCCAGCTGAGGCTGTTCCCCTGCAGACCGATGAAGATGATGATGGAAGAAGCAGTTCTGAGGATTATCTAATGATCTCCCGTAAGACAGCTTGCCCTGTGATAACTCAGCAGATATTACAACATATTCCTTTATGCATAACCAACAATGTTTGTGTTTACAAGTCGATGAGGTGGGAGAGAAGTTGGACATAGGAGACACTCCTCTGGAGATAAGCACTGAAGTAATGGAAGATAAGGAAATAAAAGAGGAGGATGACTCTGAAGTCATCAAAGTCTACATCTTTAAAGCTGAAGCAGATGATGATTTAGGCAAGTAGCCTGCAAGGAAACCCTCATTTGTATTTGTAAGCATTTATTTTCCTGAATGAAGGATGATATCCAGTGATGATCTTTTCTTTCATTTGCAGGTGGAACAGAGGTGATAACAGAGGACGATTACCAGAATGGCCATCCTGATCTAGAAGCAGCATCATCAGGCAGATTGGGAGTCGGTCGTGACAAGATGGTCTACATGGCAGTCAAAAATCCACCAAAAGAAGAAGAGGAAGATGAAGATGATAGTGATGATGATGATGAGGATGATATTAGTACGTTGTCTTGGTTCAAATCAATTGAGTCTATTTAAACAGGAAGTTTTTGTTGTTGTTTTTTAATTCATACAAAGAGTTAAATCAGTCGTCTACATTTGAAAATGAAAGTTTTAAATGTGAGACAGGATTGTTAAGCAGTTATTATTCTGACGTGGCTGCATTAATTAAACAAAAGCAAAGCTAATCTGTGCTAATGTCTGTGCAGGCAGTACAATTGATCAGGTGAAGAATGGAGTGGCTACACCTTTTCTGCAAATCCGGGAGGGACTAGGTGCAAACCGTGCACTTAAACCCAAAGCTAAAAAGAAGAAGAAAGGAGACACACGGCAGTGTCAGACTGGTATGATCAGCATACTAATATCAATGGAACAGGGTTAAAACTAATGGCCTCACTGCTCTGCTCGGCTGGAAATGGAAAGTCCGAAACATATATTTGACTTAATTAGAAAGATTGGTAGAAAATTTTAAGACCGTTTCTTCTCTTTCAGCTGTCATCATCGGACCAGATGGAATGCCTTTGACAGTCTATCCGTGCCACATCTGTGGAAAGAAATTCCGCTCACGGGGCTTCCTCAAATGCCACATGAAGAACCATCCAGACCATTTGCTCAAGAAGAAGTACCAGTGTACAGACTGTGACTTTACCACCAACAAGAAGGTCAGTTTTCACAACCACTTGGAGAGTCACAAGCTCCTGAGCCACAACAGCGAGCGATCTCCAGAATACACAGAGTATACGCGGCGCTACCACGAGTCCAGCCCCCTGGGCTCCGACAAACTCATCGTCAAGGACCGGGAGCCCAAACTCCATCACTGCAAGTACTGCGAATATGAGACAGCTGAGCAGGGTCTGCTCAACCGTCACTTGCTGGCAGTGCACAGTAAGAACTTTGCACACGTGTGCGTTGAGTGTGCCAAAGGTTTCCGTCACCCGTCAGAGCTGAAGAAACACATGCGGACCCACACGGGTGAAAAGCCGTACCTCTGTCCACACTGCGAGTTCCGCTGTGCGGATCAGTCCAACTTAAAGACTCACATCAAGAGCAAACATGGTGCAGATCTGCCTTTCAAGTGCAGCCACTGTCCCCAAGCTTATGCCGACGCGCGTGAACTCCAGCGTCACATAGAGATGGTGCAAGGCCACAAGACCCACCAGTGTCCACACTGTGAGCACAAGAGCACCAACTCCAGTGACCTGAAACGGCACATTATCTCAGTTCACACCAAGGACTTCCCTCATCAGTGTGACGTATGTGAGAAAGGCTTTCACAGGCCGTCTGAGTTGAAGAAACACGCTGAGACACACAAGGGCAACAAGGTGCATCAGTGCCGGCACTGCAACTTCAACGCCCCCGACACTTTCACCCTGAGTCGCCATATCTTGTCCCTGCATACTAAAGATCTGCCCTTTAAGTGCAAACGCTGCCGGCGAGGTTTCCGGCAGCCGGCTGAGCTAAAGAAGCACATGAAGACACACAGTGGTAGAAAAGTTTATCAGTGCCAGTATTGTGAGTACAACAGTACGGACGCTTCTGGCTTCAAACGCCACGTCATCTCCATTCACACCAAGGACTACCCCCACCGCTGCGACTACTGCACCAAGGGCTTTAGGAGGCCTTCAGAGAAGAGCCAGCACATAGCCAGGCATCACAAAGACATGTTGATGTAACACATCACAACACACACTCCTCTCCCGATTAAATCTGTGTCACACACCTAGCAGTAATTTTAGTGTATTAACAAAGAAACGATGGACGCAGGCAGAACATGAAGGTGTTATGATTGCTGTCCTGTGTTGCATTGGGCTCAAACCTCCTCCTCCTGGGGTGATGCAAGAACATATTTTAGATGGAGTGAAGTCTAAATAAGACTGTGTACACTGAGTGGGACAGCTGTAAATTGTTTTTTGTTGCAGAAAATCACATAAGAGCATATATTCAGGGTTTCAAATGTCTATATTTTTATACCCACTCAGCTGAAATGCTGCAAGATGACTGTCAGTGCTTTGTGGACGTCATGCAGGTTCTTCAGATGATGGAAAGAACACAGGAGGCGTTTGCCTCCGTACACCAACCAGTATCTTTTGCTCATCAACCAGCTTTCACCCTGACATTTCTTTTCAGTACTGTTTGATTTTAAATTCTGGGGCCATTCGTAAGTTCAGTTATGTTGGAACACAATGCATCTTGAAGAAAAAAATTTCATTTAGTTCAACAGTTGAACTTGTGTCATTTTGGATTTTTCTCCTAACAGCCATTTAATGGAACGTTGAGCTCCATTAAACTAATCATGTATTGATAACTCAAACTTTACTGTGTTGCATATGTAATAAAAAGTGGAATTAGATGTTCTGGTCTTGTCAAAAGTGTCTGGCAAGGAGGACAGAGGTGCAGCTGGTATATTAGGAAATCCCTTTCGTGTACACATTTCTGACTTAGAGGTCTGGTGTTCTATCTGCTGTGGCGATGCAGATAATCTACCAGTGTATTATTATTATTGTTATCATCCTTATTATTATTGTTATTATATGAACACAACAGATGGTTGGCTTCACATTTCTTACCCCCACGAAGTGGTTGTATTGTACCTGCCACCGTAAATTGCATTTGTGTGGTGTTACCTTTGACACGGACGTACTCTGCTAACCATTTGATCGCAATCATGCCTTACATCTGTTGGTCTTTATCCCTGAAGCACTGATGAACACAGCTAATCAGAAAAGAAGTGATTCTTAACTCTCAAACATGCTGTATCAATGCCATTCTCTCAGAGATTATGTGTTTGAGTCAGTAGAAAGCACTTTAATATTTTTTTGTACTTTAATGATGTATGGGAGTTAATTATCTAGGGATATATCTACATGTATAAAGGTATGTCCATAGGGGCAAAATGCTCAGAGCTGAGGGGTTAAGATGAGGATTGGAGTATTAACTCTTAACAAGTGGGCACGATACATTACTGCATCATAATTGAATTGTTATTGAAAGTTGTGGTTGAAACCATTTATTGTTTTGTTCTATGGATACGTGATTGGGTTTTGTGTTTTGTTTGTGCTCACTAACAAGTCCCCCACACACTAGTCCTCCAGTCCTAAATAACCAAACCCAGTCCCAAGCATGGGATTATTTCCTCCAAGTGGTCATTATATTGGCATTAGTCTTTAAAGTATGCACATATGCTGTCTCCATGAAATTAATTGTGGTATATATTAAAAATCCCTGCATTTTGTGTACGTTAGTCTATATTTTTCTTTCAGTCGGATTGTGGATAAACTACTGGTGGGGAAGAACCAAAATAAACAACTATCTTTTTAAAGGTTTTGTGCTTTCTCTTATAGCGGAAGGGGAGGATTTCATGTTGGTCAGAGTCCTGCGGCCGTAGATGTTGTATTTCACAGCTTAACTGGAACCACAAATCTCTATTGTCCAGAAAGTTTAGAGTCGGTACAAGGCAGGCCTCGAATCGAAATCCTCCCTCCATTTTCGTAGCCGCTTATTCCCTAATGGGGTCGCGGGGGGACTGGAGCCCACCCCAGCAGTCAGTGGGCGGTAGCGGGGTCCACCCTGGACGGCCCGCCAGTCTATCACAGGGCCATAATTGAAATCAACCCTGAAAATGAGTGAAGCAACCTCCAGATTCTTTTCCTCCCTCATTTAGCGGACGCCTTTTGAGGTGGGTGCTCTGTTACAGCAGCTTCAACATCACAAAGTCAGCAAATGGGTCGACTGTTTGCATGATGATCATCCTGTGAAGTCTTCTCTGTGGAAGCGGGGCTGCAGCGCTGGAGACATCTTGTCAGTGGTGTGTTGATTGGATGTTAGCTTAATTGCTACGTGCTGATTGGGCACACTGAGGGAGAAAACACACCAGTGTCAGAAAACGAGGTTAGTGTTGATCTTCCAGCCTTGTTAAAGTTAAGATCAACAGGATTGCAGCAGTGCTATAGTATATGTGCAGTAACACAAAATTGTTTTTTTTTTCTCCACTTCAGGCTTCATTTTCAATTCAAAGACACCAAAAGGCTTTGAAATTCTAAACATTCTGCACGCCTGTTTGCATCCTCATCCCTCCCTGCCTGGATTCAGCCCTCTGGCCTTTGGAGAACGTCCATCTCAGAACGTCGATTTTATACATTTTTGTTGAAGGTGAGTTGCTTTGAGGAGACATCAGCACCGGCTTTGCTAACAGTTCAGACAAAAACCCTCACAGGGAGACATAGCTGGCACAGGTGAGGAGCTCTGGAGTTCACAGTCGGCCTTTATTATGGCTGCTGCCATTGGGCTGAAAGGTGAAGGTGTTATGGCAGAAATGAAATACCTTTTCCAGAAGTTATGAGGAATGTAACAGCCATCATACATTGACATAAAAGGGATAAAACATATTAACAAACAGCCAGCATGAACAGTAGAAACCAAAACGAATAGTTAAATTTTTGTTTGAGGTAATATTGATCAATAATTACCCGCTGTTGTATATATATATATGTTATATATTTAGTGCTTCAAATTCCTGTTCTATCATCGTGATCCTAAACGGTCCAGAAGGCCAACCCCTTGGACTTGGATTGTTACAAGCTTCAGAAAACGAATGTCTACTTAAAGACCAATTAATGAAAAACTGGCCTCAGTCTGGAGTTCCTGTAATTCCTATTAAGTCAAATTAAAGTTTAGATAGAGTTAGAATGCCACTCTGGCCCAAGGGGATGTAAAGGTTTGGTGAGTAAAAGAAATGGAATTTCCTCTTTTCAAACTTCCTTTGGAAATGTAACGTCCTCAGACTTAAATAGTCATTTCAGTTGTGGCCTTAATTCAGTTTTGGACCAGGATCTCTGGAGATGGGAGTATGCAAGAAGGAAAAGCTAAATAATCAACATTAATGATTTTAAAAGACGTTTTTCAAAAGTGGTATTCATTTATAGTTATGGAGCGGATTCTTCCTTTGGAGGCATCAGAGAAAATGAGGAATGATTTATTTATCAGGGTATAACTGAATGGTTATAAACTGATCCTGATGAACAGCTTGTGTTTGGGACTTGGTGGCTTTGTTGACTTGTTTTCTCTCTGCCTTTCTGTCACCTGACATGAAAGATAAATGACATCTTACTCTGATGGCAATGAGGCTGTGCTGACTGGTTCACACGGGCACCACTAACATCTTAGAATATGGACACAGCAAACTCTTCATATCATTGATTCCGCAACATAGCTCATCAATCACCTTCTGGTGCTGCTGTCAGCAGAAAGCACCGAGGACGTGCACTACGGTGGGCAGACGTATCCATAACATCCTCTCTGCTCTCCCGTTCTATCACTGCATTATTCAAACACTTCCATATTACTGTGGTGTTTGCTTTTTTTATCATGGCTTCACACATTTTTAGAATGAGCAGTAAAAAAAACATTTTATATTTTGAATATTTCTGAGTGGCCATCCCTTTGTCTCTCTCTCTCTCTCTCTCTCTCTCTCTCTCTCTCTCACACACACACACACACACACATACACACACATAAACTCTCCCCCAAAGGCCACCTAACAGCCTCAGAAGGCCATCAATGTGATGGAAATTGACAGGTATACAGAGATAATCCAGCTGCTGCAGAAAGGCAGACCAATTTATTTAATGCAGTCATTTTGTTCTTATTTGTGAGCATGAACGGGGCCCGCAGTACGGGTGAGATTAGAGTGACGAGCCTACCTTTGAAAAACTTGACCATTTTAATTGCATGCAGGAAGTTAAAAGCTGCCGGTGATGGCCAATTTCTCCTTATCGGCGTACATCATGTGTGCTGTTAGCCATAATTTGGTTTTGGCCGTGCTGGTGTTACACAGCAGGTTTTTCTCCTAAGCATTTCAGAGTCATGGAGCTGCGTCTGTCACCAGATCATCTCTTTAGGCAGGAAGCCCCCCCCCCCCCCCTCCCGGCTTCTGCGGCGGCCAACACAAACGCGGTGATGCAGATTGTTGGCGTGCAGGCTGCAGTGGAACAGCCAGCTGGAGCCTGCACGGCCCTCAGGGAAATCAGTGCCAGGCTGCCTGGGGATGGGCAAAACTGGCCAGCTGATTAGCCATGAAAAGGCCTGTTTGGTGGACCAATCATGACGGAGAAGGAAGGAAGGCCGTTTCAGAAGGACATTATACAAGAAAACTATCAATCAAACTCTAACTGACCCCTAACCTTAAACTTTCACTTGGACCTCAGCAAAGACTGAAGAGTAACATAATGAAGAGTTTTGGATTGTTATGTATTATTTGCCCATTCTCAACAAGCCAGCGGTCTCAGAGTCAGTTCTTTTTCACTATCAAGTATCAAAACACTTCAACAAAAAGATCAGACAGCTGCATGTTTTCGTAGCTAAAAATACTCTCGGACAGCCTCTAACTCATCTTCCTTGGCTGACACCAGTCCAGACATCCCTGACACTTATCTAGGGTCAGATACCTTGAACACAGAAGAATCCAGACATGCTTTAAAGAAAATGTTATCCCTTAGATCAACCGGTAGATGTCCCCGTTTTCCCGCATGTCTGGATGACTCCGACACCTTCTGGCTCATGTACTCCCGAAATACAGTCACCAAAATCCCAGCCTTACTCCTTTCTTATTTGTTGAATGGATTTGAATTACACTCCAATTGTTATTTATGCTTGGCGACGATATATATCAATATTTTCTTTTGCCAAGACAACTTTCAATGGTCTTGGCACGCGTGCCAAAAAAACCAATAAATATTTCAGGAGTACTTTTTTTTGAGAAGCTGACAGACGCTATTAGCGTAATTCTACTTAAGGGATGTAAGGAGCGGTTGTTGCCAGATAAGAAATCTTGACCTGGATCCCAGCAGAGGATGCGTCACCGGGGGTGGGCGTGGCTACGCTGAAGGAATAACGCTGTCACCGCCGTCGGGCTGCAGATTGAGGTAACACGAGAGCAGAGAGGCTGATCCGCTGACCAGATCTCTCCCCCCCCCTCACACACCCCCAAAGTGATGGAGCCGCAGGAGATCCTGCTATACACCTTCATCGTGTCTCATGAAATCTTCAAAGTGCTCTTCATCTCGTGGCTCGCCAGCAACGTGACACCTGTGGACGCCGTCAACTATGGGTTGCTCAATTGAAGTTGGGCCACCTGATCCAGTTTGCGCCGGGGCAGCCGACCAGAACTAGAGGAAGAGGAGCCGTTATGAGCGCTTGCGCAACTGCTAGAAGTCCCACCCGGAGAACTGATGTGAAACGGCGAGTTTCGTCCACCGAATAGCGCGTCCGTCTGTGCGTAAAGAACGCGGTGACCACGGATACGCTCCCCGCCGCCCGAATCCTCCTGCGCGCTATGTTGTAGCAGAGAGGGTGAAGCGCTGTAGTTAGAGTAGAGGGTTTGTTGCTGCTTTTTTATTGCGCCAAGCAGTTTTTAGTCGCTCCGCTGCCACGGGCGACTCGTAAGTCCCGAACACGCAACAGGCCACTGTGCTGACAGTGCTTCAGAGGTGAATCATGGCGTTACCAGATGGTGGTATATCGGGGGAGGAAGTCCCTTTTCCAGAGATAATAGAGCTCAATGTTGGAGGCCAGGTGTATATAACCCGCTACTCAACCCTCACGAGTGTGCCAGACTCTCTACTGTGGGAGATGTTCAGCCAAAAGTCAACCAAAGGACTGGCCAGGGACACCAAGGGGCGTTTTTTCGTGGACCGCGACGGTTTCCTGTTCCGCTACATCCTGGACTACATGAGGGACCAACAGCTGGTCCTTCCCGACCACTTTCCCGAGCGCGGGCGTCTGCAGAGGGAGGCCGAGTTCTTCAACCTGCCCGAGCTTGTGAAGCTGCTGTCCCCCAAAATCAGCAAACAGAACTCGCTGGGCGACGAGGGGTGTCAGAGCGACCCGGAGGACTCCTCGCCCGGGATGGACACGGCGCGCAGCCTGGGCTCCCTCGGAGCGGCGGCCGCTGCCTGCGCCAGTCTGGTGCCCGGCGGCATGGATGGCAAACGCTCCGGGTTCATCACGATAGGCTACCGGGGCTCCTACACCCTGGGCCGCGACAGCCACACCGACGCCAAGTTCCGTCGGGTGGCTCGCATCATGGTGTGCGGGAAGACCTCTCTGGCCAAGGAGGTGTTCGGGGAAACGCTCAACGAGAGCCGCGACCCCGACCGCCCGCCCGAGCGCTACACCTCCCGCTACTACCTGAAGTTCACCTTTCTGGAGCAGGCCTTCGACAAGCTGGCAGACGCAGGCTTTCACATGGTGGCCTGTAACTCCACCGGAACCTGCGCCTTTGCCCACGAGCAGACGGACGACAAGATTTGGACCAGCTACACTGAATATGTTTTCTACCGTGAGTGAGACTATCGGCTTTGTTCCCCCCCGGCCCCCTCACCCTGCCTCCAAGAGAACCCCCTCTCCTCCAGCCTCCAGCCACCCTGTCTTTCTCTTTCTGAAGGCTTCTGGTGCAGTAGATGTACTGTAGATGGTAGATGTTGTGCCCTTCCATCTCTCTTTGCAGCCTCCGGCTTGACTCTTCATACCTTCTCAGCAGGGCGAATCTACAACTTTCCCCTTCAACCCCAAATCCATCCTCCCATCCCCAGGTTCAGCCTTTGCCCTGTTTTAAGTCGCCGCCCCATCTAGTTTTAGACCCCTTTGCTCAACCACAACAACTCATCCTTTCCTGCAGAGACTGATACCTTCTATGTACTGTTCCCTCTTTGTACTCTATGTATGATATATGCCTTGGTGAAGCACAATACTGTATCCAAGAGCTATTTAATCAAGGAAGCACCCGTTGTGTCCATATGACTGTGAAACTAGTCATAAGGGCATAAGAGAAAGGGCTGAAAGAGTTCCCGTGGTGTACTGTGCTATATGCCTGCTTACTCAAGCAGATTGGACGCTCTCCTGCTCCTCTGAACTAAATTACCAAATAATTGGACATCTTATCAGCCTTGAGGGATGTGTGCAGCCCTAGCACAAGATAGAAGAGCAATTTCCCCCCGTTTTCAGTAAATATGTCCTGCACAATGCGGTTTGGAAATGTGCCATAGTTAATCTGTCCAGTGATTTTCTTTTTAATGAATGAATGAATGGGGCTTAATGCAGCACCGTGGACAGAAAAAGGATGCTGTGACCCTCTAGACTTTGAAAGGTAAAAGTAGAATGTACCCCGTTCTTATTTAGAAAGACGTGGGTTTTTTGGAGAAAAATAAGCAAGCGTCCAAGTAGGATGCTTTTGTGAAGAAGCTCAAACATTAAGAAATTTCGTCGAAAGAGTTAATAAGTGTGTATTGATGGAGGTGTTTGTATTTTAATCACCTACACTGCAAGAGCAGAGGAGACAGAAGGTGTGACATAACTATTGCTATGTTTTTTGTTCTTCTTTGTTTTACTATACATTAAAAAGCTTTTTTTCCTCTCACAGTGAACCACTTTTTTGGATAGGCTTAGACATTGATGTGTCGTTCGCAACGAAAAAAAGGTGGGAGTTGCCATAGTTAACCATGTTTTGACTTAAAATGATCATTCTTCATACTTGTTTCAGTATTCGTTGGAGCATATTTACATTTGGTGAAAGTTCTCACATAATGTGAGTGAATTAACACAAGAGATGGACGGATTACGCTGTTCTCAGCCAAAGCCCACTGTTTTCTCAACACTGTAGCAAGGGCATTTTATAGTAACTGAGTATAGCTGAAGTTAGATAAAAGAACCACACACAGCCTCAGGACTGGTCTGCACATCATATACCTCAGAATCAAACCCAAGCTGAAGACATTTAATTCTTGTGAAGGATCCAGAGAATCGTGTGTAAACACAGATGGAATTAAGCAAATATCCAAAAGGTAGAAGCTGTGATTAGACTGGATATGGGCTGCTGAAGCATGCTGAGAGTTTGGATTTAGAAGCAGACAGCCAACGTTCTGAGGGAAGGTTTCCATCCCAGCTTTGGGGTGTCAGGTTGTAGTTTAATGTCTGACAGTGACAAATGTTTTCTCTGAAGTGTCTAGAAAACGCAATATTGTGTTTCAGTGTGATGAAGTTCTGTTGACATCTGAGTCAATATGTTAAACCCACTGCGGCGTGCCGCTGCAGGCGTAGATGACATGGAAATTAAAACTGTTCAGCAAAAAGAAAATTGATTTGTTAAGTAAAAGATGTTGTCTTTCTACTCTGCTTGTATTTTCCATACATAACCAAATAGGATTTAACTCTATAATTGGAAGTGAGCACAAACAGGGGAAAATGTCATGTGCCCCTCTATACCAGCAGCTACATTTTTAATTTTCTGTTGACAGTGAAGCTCGATCACAAGTAAACCAAGTTAAACATATTGTGTCAGTGGTTCCCATTTAAGGAAGTGTCACTGGATGTAAACTCGGCTTGTTATTAAATGTTCAATACTCCTCCCTCAGGCACTCAAAGCCACATCTTTCCAACTGCTGTTGTACTTTTTTCTCCATATTAGTCCTTTTTCCTCTCAGTCTAGACTCGCATTGAACATTTCACCAGAAAACAGAGCCAGGACAGAAACCAGGACATGCATAGATAACAAGTTCTGTTAAAGCAGAATAGAATCCTTTATTCTGTTGCAAATAATTGACCCACTTATGTTAAAACAGACACAATTGTAAAGATGATTGGATTCAAATTCAGTACCAGTCATGTACTGTAATAGCTGAGTATTTCTGCAAAGCAGCATTTTTCAATTTAGCTTCATATTAGAGTTGATTATAGCTTTTTTTCGATATAGAGCACAGACAGACATCAAAGTAGACAAAAATGACATAAAAAAACAGGGCTTATATAAGTAAGGCCATCAGATGCTATTTTCTAAACCCTGACTCACGTTTGTGTCAGTCTTTCGTCTTAATTACATGCTAATCAGTTTAGAATAATACCTCTACATCTGATCTCAGTGTGGCCTAGATAAAAGCATTGCTGGGGAGTTCCACAGAAAGTTGTGAAACATTTATGTGGCATCCTTCCCTTTCCCCGGTCCAAACAAACACACTCGCAGGCAGCATTCCTCTGCCACTGCCCTGTGGCACGCTAAGGCAACAGAGTGCTAGATTCAGTCATTAGCACATGCATGGAGAGACATGGCTTACATGTGAAATTCCAGACGTCAGTGTCCTAAACTACTGCTTGCCTCAACGGTCGCCTTTAGGCTCAATATTCGGCGCTAAAGGAGCGCCGACACCGAGACGCTGAACAGCAGCAGCGAGGTATGCAGGCCACACTGTGATGAAATACCGCTTTTTGTAGAGTCTGCGTTGTGAATTTTGTGGCTGAAAACGTGTAGCATACCTGCATGTGTGACTTATAACAAGCGGGTTCTAGTTGTGTCCCCATAGTGGTATGCCTGTTCTATTCAGAGTGTTACAATAAAGATATTTTATCATGACATTCTGGCTTCTCTGTCTTTTGGAAAATAAAAAAAAGATGGAAGGTTTAAAATTCATTATTCAGCTCTTGACATTTTGCTTCAAAGAAAAAAGAAAAAGAGCAAGACAGTTTTCTTTTCAGTGCTCCCCTTTCAGGCAGTGATTTTAGCCAGATCCTGTACCTGTTGTACCGTCATCACCTTTGCCAGCTTTACATGAAAATTCCTTCCCCGTCTTTGACTGATCCTTGTCTCATATCCAGCTGGCTCATTGCTCCCAGTATCTGAAAAAGAAAGGGAACAAGAGGAGGAGAACAGGAGGCAGTGTATGTGTGTCAGAGGAGAAGGGGATTGGAAAATGGGACAAAAAGATCATTTAGGTGAAGCAAGAGGAGGCCGATGGGACTGGGTGGGAGGGGAGGGCGTGGGGTGGGGTGGTTATTAACAGAATTGTGGTTCCCTTCTGATGGCTCTTAATCAAGATCTCCAGCTATATGTGCTCTGTTATTTAGCTTCTTGCATCTTACTGACTAAGTCATCACAAAGACATGTTGTGATATCCTCTTTTGTGGCCTGTCAACTCAGTCAGTATCTCACCAAGTCTGCAGAATCACACCCGCCATACAGCGATAGAAGAGTGTTTGACCCCATGAAATATTCATTAAACATGAGCTGGCTCCAGATTTTATCGCCTCACATTCATCTGACACTAGTGAAAAACAAATGGTTGTCATTAATGTTTATGCAACCAAATCCTTTTAAAATGCTTGCAAGCATGTCAGAGGAAACGGTTTAAATTGAGCTTTAAACAGGAAGAACCAAATTAAGTACTTGGAGATCTGGCATGGACAAATCCTCCAAAGGTCTACAAACTGTCTCAGAGAACGATCCAAAACCAGTCCTTTAAGACTGTCAATCCATAATCATTTAAAGCATTTGTAAGATGTCACTTAAGTTTGCGCTATGATTAAAACCCAGAATTCATAATCCCGTCTGCCATACATCTTTGGCGCCCACACTCCTCTGTATCATTACTCTCCCACCTCCGTGCTTCACAGGAAAACCTTGTCTTCAACACCCAACATTTTAACACTGGCCTTATTTGATCACCGGCAGCCTATCAACCTTTAAATATGCCTCTTTTGATGTTCTTGTACAAATTATCATCTTTTTGTAAAGTGTGTACAAGAAGGCTTTCTTTTTCTTACAGTTCTCTTCCCCTGCTGTTGCTGACATTGAGCAGTGTCATTAATGCTTTCTGATCAGCACAACACATATTTCTAAACCCTGTGAGGTTGTTTTTTTTTTAGCTGATTTCAAGTTTTTCAGTGACCTTCAAATAGCCTGTCCCCATCTGTTATTATGATCAGCTTTGTTTGCTATCTGTATGTTCTAACTTTGTTTTATTTTGAAGAGAGGTAATTTTCCATAGAAACTGCGATCCACCCGGATGCACCCAGTCTCTTTATGTTACCTGTATGTGGATTCATTGTAGTCAGTATGGCGGTCGAAACAGAAATAAAAAATAGCTGTATTTCTATCTCATCTGTGTGTGAATCATGAGTCATACCAATAAAGTGGTATGTAATCAGCTCAGCTCCTCAGGCTGCATCTTCCCTCAGACAAACCACGTGTGTTAAAGAGTCAACACCGAGTGTCATTTCCTAAACGTCTTAGTGGAAGTGTACAGTACTTTCAGATGTGCGTTAGTTCTGTTTACTCAGAGCACTCAACTGCAACCATCTGTGAGTCTCTGTGTTCTGTTGTCCCTTCAGACTCAGTGCCTGGTTTGCTTTTGACTCTACACACCCGTATACTTTTGCTCTGTTTTGTTTTGTTATGCTCATTTTTCTGCTTGCGGGGTCATTTGTTGGACAGGCTGGGTTGGTTTTTGGACTCCTACGTGCGATGGGTCAGCCTAAGACTGGTTTGAGACGCGGGCGAGGGTTGCAAACTAA